CTCCTACATCAGGATCATTGGCTGTGGGTAAAACAAAACGCGCCCCCGGTGCCGCTGATTCTCCGATGGTCAGCTGCATGTCGTGCTGATGAAAGGAAGGTGAATTATCATTAATATCCAATACTTCGACCGTAACATGATGTAGTTCCATCGGGTTTTCTAAAATCAAATCAAAGCTGAAGCTACAGGGCGTCACGTCTCCACAAAGCTGCTCTCGGTCTATTCGCTCATTCACGACCAAAGTCCCTTTGTCTGTCTTCAGCTCGGTGTACTGGATGCTTTCTCCGGTCACGATACGGGCCCGGCCAGAACGGAGCCTCTGCATGTCTATTCCAAGGTCCAAAGCGACATTACCAATAAGGGATCCCTTCTTCATCTCTTCTGGGATAGAATAACGTATCTGACCAGTGGCAATATGACTGAGACAAAAAAGAAAGAGAAGCCTTTGCGACGTCAGGCTGTGGCAACGCCATCTTAAAGTCCGGGGGGAAAATTTTCCGAAATCCATGTTTCCAAATAAATGATATGAAATTATACCATCGAAACACTTCTTTTACAATTCCAAATGATTAACAATAACGCAATACAGGTGCCGTTTATAATGAAAATATTCGTATTTCCAGCTTCCTTTTTCTGGTAGTGAAAAATGTCTAAGCAAAGCCAGTCTGCGCCAACCTCAACGCCGTTAAAGCATAACCACGCTCCACAGAGCAGAATGGTGAAAGGCACCGCCTGAAACAGTGTTCAGATTTGTTTTTACTTGACCAACAGCGTCCCTTAGAGTCCAGTCAATGAACATCAACATGAGGACGTAAGATTATTGCAAGTACTATTTTCATAGAAACTGAATACTGGCAGTTTCCATTATAGAGAGGACTAATACCATCAATAATCACAGACTTCAAAATTGGAACAAATACATCAATTAGCATATGATAGATTCATTAGTACTCAGGGGCCATAGTCATTTGCGATCCCATACAACACAGCATATTTTAGGACTGCAAACAGTAAGCAGGAGAACTATAAATATAAAGTTAAAATAATATATAATCTCCAAAAAAAGAATCAACTTGCCATAAAACACAGTCCAACTGAAGAGAAATTCCACACAAGCAATCCAGTATGAAAATGTCAACACGTTTATTTCAAAATTGCATCATTGACCCCTCTATCTGACCCTTCCATTAAAACAATTAAATCACTTTGAGGTTGTAATATAAAGGCTTAGGTACAACACTCTCCTGTAATCTATAGTTTTATGTAACTGTTCTTATGTTAGTGAAGAACAGCACAAATGTAGGAAATAGTTTGAATTTCATGTAGTGCAGCAAATGTCATCAAAACATGCAATGAGAGATTCTGGTGAATCAAACAATACACAAAGAGCAATATACAATAAGCACTAATATGTTGCTGATGCATGCTACAATCTTTACCAAACATTTAATAAATTATTTTATTTGGCTACCTTGAAACAACAGTTTTAAATGAGAAATCCATGTGCAAATAGTATATTAACTAAATGAAAAAAGTTGGATGTACATGATGTGTACAACAGTATTATATTTTGGTAAAGTAAAATAATTATCAACATATTTCGCATGAAATAGGGTTGAAAACTACTGCTGAGACTGAAAAGGGGGTTGCAGAGGAACAATTATTACGAACTGACCCAATCTAACTGTGATGCTGTCCATGGTGCTGAAAGTGACAGTTCAGTGTTCAGCTGTCTATCAATGCAATTACAAAAGATGAAAAGAGATAGACACATGAATGCACAGAGGAAAGAAAGAAAGATAGGTTATCCTAACTGACCTCTAGAGGGGAGTCTGGCTCATCCAGGATGCTCTTTTCACTCTG